TCGGCCTTCTTGAGGACCAGTTTGCCTGTTCCACCCAGTAAGTCTTGAAGGTTATGTATTGTTTGTTACTGTTTGCTATGTACTGTTCCACAAGTAACTGTCAAAGATTTTCGATTGGTGGTCTTTCTCATTTGAGAGAGTTCGGTGGGAGAAAACTCTCAAGCTTACAGGGACCTGCAACATAGTTGTCTATTCACCGTAGGATCCCAGGATGAACAGAAAAAGTAACTGTCGACTCGAAAGAATTAGTTTTCTAACCGAAAAATGTATCTTATCTGAGAGAATTGTAAATTGCCTAGTGTAAAGGGCCCTACAAAAAATTGTCGGTTCGCACGTGTCTTACGAATGGATAGAATCATTTTCTACTCCGAAGAATCCGGCAGAGTGACTTAATTTGTCAAACGGAAAAGTGCATCTCATTTAAGAGAGTTAGAAATTGCCAAGCATAAAAGGCCATACAGTGAGTCGTTGACTCCTACATACCGGTTCCATAAGTAGGCAAAATCATTGTCAAAAGGGAAGAATGAGTTGTCAGTAAACGGAAATGGATTTTATTAGAGAGACTTCAAAGATCTTTAAATGATATGAAGGGCTTTGCAACTGCAACGAATTGTTCCTACCGTTTGAATTTTACGAATGGACAGTCTTTGGGGACTTGATATAATATAAGTTGCCAAACGACAAAAAGAGCGTCTCAGAAAGTCATCATGAAATTTTCCAGCATGTTGATTTAAGGCGCTCTATGACAAACTTCCCGTTCGTGCGACTGCACAAATAGACTGTGGCTTGTTTTTGACTCGACACGGCCCCTCCAGAATCGGGGAAATTTTTGCTTCTGGAATCCAGATTGCATCAAATTTTTGCTGTGGAATCCGGAATCCCGGGGTTTGAAATCCGGAAAAGAGCTCTTAGAATCCGGAATCCCTCTACCATTGATAAAGAATCCGGAATACGGCACCTTTAATCTGGAATCCACGCAGCCTCGTACCCAGTCGTCCTCGGCGATTTCGGATGTGACGTCACCTGTCAAGCTTGTTGGGAAATTCGCCGAGGACTCTATCGCACTCGGTTGCAAGCCTCCTCTGGTAACTCGGATAGCGAGAACTAGCCTGAGTACGAGGCTGGAATCCACGGCGTGGCCGAATCCATAATCCAAGACTGGATTCCCTTACTTGGGGCGAACTCGACAGAATAAGTTGTCGAACAGAAAATAGATGCATTTTTGATTGGTAAATTTTCTTTTATCAACAGGAATGAAAGGAAAGTTTACCGATTCAGATAAAATGGACTCACGCCCATTATCACCTGAACGACTAGAGAGATTTGTTCATAGTAAAATTATAATCTAATTAAATTCTTGCAAGATATCTATTAGCCTCCCACGCAGACGTTCTTAGGGGTTTGTCGTGCCCCACAAAGAACGTCTGCGGGGAGGCTAGATATCTATAGAGCCTTGACAGGGAACGCCCACTTTTAGCGATTGGAAGTATCAGCTCGCTAAAAGCTTCCCACGTTTTTCACCCCTTTTTTCTCTTTGTATGTCCCCCTGAATGACCGCTGGAACTCTAAAACTACAGTAGGCAAAGCATTCTGGAACACCAATAACGCCACCCGCTGCAATGCTAGTAATACAATCTATGGTAATTTTAATTTTCAACTGCCCATGCAAGCTGGTGTTCAATTGATTTCTCTGATAGTTGCCTTAAGGTTCCTCGGCAGGTGGTCATATATTGCTTCAGTTTCGTCAGACAAGAGACTTTAGCTTTCAAAAAGTAACAGTGAAACGTCCTTACCAGCCACTAAACAACGACGTCCAATGAAGTGTACCGCTTCAGCAGTGTTCTACTGCGCAACATATGCTTTACTTTGTAAATTTTCAAACGGGGTCAAGCAAGGCGATAAAAGACACGAGTCAACAGGTACGTTAAATGGTTTTAGCACCACTGTAATTATATTGTCGCTGTTTGTTGATAAAACTCGCTATTTATTGTTTACATTTAGGGCCATTCTAAAGCTAAACAAAAATAAATGGAATAAGAAAATAACCGTAAACTTCTTTACTTAATTGTAGAATGACAAGGCAAACCGCGGCAAGTGTCCTGATATCAACTTTGAACTGAAAAGTTGACTTGGAAAACACGATTCTATGATCGCATCTCGAAGTGATAACCACTTCTTTCTGACCCTAGATGTATCTAATCCTGTTTACCTGTTTATTTTTTGCGTTGAATCGCACAGATATGAATGTCATAGAATTTAATGTTTGGACAAACTTTGGTTTTCAGATCAGAGTTTTAAAGACATGTTTTTGGAGTAGTCATGATTCACGAACTTGAGCTCTAAATAAAAAACATAAAACACTTGTTGATGAAAGAAAAAACACATAACAAAGGAAACAGAGGTATTAAGTCCAGTATATTATTGGTAAAACGTACTGAAGGTTGGCAGATTGATTAGGTTTATAACTAATAGTACTCCGTATTTAGCGATCTCCAACGCTTTTATGGAAATAGCTCTTTGATCGATTCATTGATGATTATGGAGGTATGGTAAAGACAGAAATTGCTCACTCACAGTTTATTTTTAAGAGATTAGTACTTCAAAAAATCGTCAGTCAGCCAAATGTGCTTCAGTCCTGCCAGGTACGTTAAAAACGAATTTAAAATCCGAGGACGGCGACGGTGGCTGGTAGTGACAGTCGAGTAGGTCGACGCTCAAAATGGTGAATTTGCGTTCCGGCTCCCAATCGTCATCGCAATTATTATCCCGGCCAGAACTCACCTACTTTGTCAAATGTAGGCAAAAACTTTCCTGGAGTTGAATTCCTAAGAACTATATCCAACTTCAGAGAGAGAAAGAAAATTTCGACTTCGTTTGTTTACGTTCTTCATAAAAATTGAAATTTGGTATTAAGTTCTCGTCAGTGACCGTCGTCGTCGTGATATCTTAAACTGCCTAAAATTCGAGATCACACTGTAGGAGAATAAATCTGTTATACAATATCACTAAGCTTTGAGTGCCTTTTTTAAAATTCTAGGAGCTGAACGTGTACTGCTTAGAAAGCGGCGAGCATTTGGTTCTTGGAAGCCACCCTGTAATAGTGAGTAATAAAGTAAACTATAAACAACGAAAATTCTTCTTGGTAACGTCTTTGATTGCTGACGAGCCTTATGCGAGCCAGCACACTATTCTCTACAATAGCGGGAAAAAGCCAAAATTTGTTGAATGTAAGATCAGAAGCATGCGCAGTCGATTGGTTTTGCTTATTATCCGGGGTATTCGCTCCTGTACGATGACATCACGTAAAACGCACTTGGACTTCGAATAGATTTCAGGGTGCAGGCAGAGGTCTCTCACGACGAGGCCAAAATTTTTGCCTCGTCGTGAGAGGCCTTTGCTAGCAGGGAAGTAAGCGAGATGTGTGTTAAGCAATTGCTTTTTTCATTTTTCTTGATGTCTTTAAAGTATTCATCAATGTCTCGATCCAGAGCGTTTTAGTTATGAATCTCGTGGAAGGCAGGAGGATTATGTGTTTGGCTGCTCTTTTTGCCGATTCGCAAATACATATGGAGGAGCGAAGATATCGATCATTCAAATCCTTCTTTTTGGAAATAGTTTTTTCCCTGTACATTCAGCAGTAGTGAAGTGCCTGGCAAACATACTTCCATTCGGATTTAACCGCCGACTCTGGCTTGCGTCTCGTGAGAAACGACAGGACGGTGCGAAGCATTAACCTGATAACACAGCCTTGCGTCTAAAGCTACTTCGGCACATGCAAATCAAAGTATTATTTTCGCCCGTTGAGGTGTTAAATCTGATCGTTATGCCAAAAACTGTACATGTCGAGTTAAACAATTCAGCCGATAAATAAAAAATTTGACCACTGTATTTCAATTACATTTGTTTGTTGAGGCGAAAGAAATAGCTTGGAACCTTGGATTCAAAATGTATATCGCTGTTTGAAGCTATCTCCTCATGGCTAACCATTCAACTGCAAAATTATTTGACTGTTGCGTTCGCAAGCACCTGTCACGCAGGCTACCGTGGGGTCCAATTGTTTTCTTTTAATCTTCTCGAGCACCACATTAAACCGTCGTTCGGCCATTGACCTTGATTATTGCTGAAAATGTATTAGCAATGCCTTCGCAACGCCATTCGCGAACGGGCAAACATTGTTGTAGAAGAGCAATCAAACGCATTAAAATCCGTAAATCTCCGTATTTTCTTCCGACTCTGACGCCAGCACTTACCTGCGAATTGAAACCCCTAGTTAATATGTTAGTCAGTTTTCTGACTTGTCTGAAGGTGAAATTACATTAAAGCAAAACACCCCTGGGCCCAGTTGTTCGAAGGACGATTAACGCTTAACCCGGGGTTAAATTTAACTCGGGTTTCTCTTTGTTGTGTTCAAAAGCCTTTTTCTCGGATAATTTTCTCTGATATATTTAGAGCTTCCAATCATCAACTTGTAGACAAAAAGAATTAAATCTGAAATGCTTTTAATCCCTTCAAATCTGAATTCAAATCTTGCGCTAACCCTGGGTTATCTTAACCCAGCTTTGAACAACCTGGCCCTGGTTTCTTTTCCTTGTGTTCAAAAACATTTTCTCGGATAATTTTCTTCCAATCATCAACCTGTAGTCAAAAAGAATTAAAACTGAAATGTTTTTTAAGCTTTCAAATCTGAATTCAAATCTCGCACTAACCCTGGGTTATCTTAACCCCAGCTTTGAACAACTCGGCCTTGGAAGATATTACTGAACCCGTTCGCTTAGCTGAATGATTGCCCACAAAATGTCAGAATTGTGACTCGAATGTCTACTCTCTACACTCTACTCGTGTCTCTGTCACTCTAATCTGGGCTTACCGCTCATTTTAGACGTTATCGTCCGACTTCTTAGTCGCCAGAAGAGCCCGGGGGGCGCGCCCTATATATACAGGGAGGTTTCAGGGAGATGAAAGGGTAGAGATTTCACTTGCAACATTCCAGTGAAACTGTTTTCATTTCAGTTACCAACGGCATCTATTTGGAAAGATGGGACCGGATAGATTACAAGCGTGTGAAATTCCTCCTCACAGACCCTCGTTATCCAAGGCTGCCATCGAAAACAATATGTCTTCCTGATTTCCAGCAACCGCAGAGTTGGGCTGATTATTTCGGTGCTCGAGCAAGGACGTATTTTGTTCCACAGCAGACTGGGATTTACCGCTTCATGCTTTGTGAGAGCATTTATTTTGATTCTAAAAATTTGTACCTTAGTCTTAATTAGGCATGCAAGAAAGAGGAGTTTAGGTTCAGAAAAAAAGAGATAAGGGGGACAAAGGTCAATGGGGTTGCGGTTGATTGATCAAAGTCTTTGGAGACAAGCACGGCGGTAGATCGGTGAATACTCAACAGTGCAACTGAACATACCAAACTGATTCGTATTATTGGGGTGTTTGACCAATGAAGGGGTTTGATCCAGAAAGGCAAATGTTATCCAGTCTGCGTGACATGCGCTGTATAAGCCAAGCTAGTCGAACGCAGCATTTTGCGCTTCGCGCACTTGCCGTGTTTGCCTCGCATGGCTGATAAAGCGCCTGCTCTGCAGTCTAATGTTATCAAAATGCTACGCAATGGAATTGTAATTATTAGACATGCGCTTACCGAAAGTCAGAGCTGGCGCACGATCGAACTGGTTATTTTGAAATTAAAAAATCCTAGGTTTTTCTCGAAATTTTTGCCAAAACCTACCAATGCTGAATATACCCTTGATTAATAGGTTGATTTGGTTGAATAGTCTTGATTAATAGAGCCTAGGGATTCTCTTTACTACTGTAGCAGTCTGGTCGGCCGGTTCTAACAGTGAGAAGCGCCCTCTAATCTTCATCTTACTGGCAAACCGTTACTCTCCCCTTCCAGTGGTTTTTTACCAGCGACCAACGAATTTTCATGTTTACACTTTCCCCTAGTCCCTGTACGGCGTTCTCCATGGCCTTCTCAGTCAATAGGAACTATGCAAATATGTCACAAATATTTAAATACTGGGGAGCAACTATATGGCAAACATAGTAAAAGTTGTGCAAATCCATTTTTTCGTGCACGGTGTATAACGTGTACATGTAATTTCTCTCAGCATCAGATGCCGGTAGTGAGCTTCATATTAGTACCAATGAGAAACCTGTTCACCTTTCGCTGATTGCGTCGGTTGAGGGAGGATTTCCAACTCAACCATATGAGTTTGATAGGTGAGTTGAAAGATGTTTTGTACTAGCCTGCGTAGAACGCGCTTGGAAGTAATGGGCGCAAGAAAGAACGGGGCTCGCGAGGGAAAAACGCCTCTCCCCTCGCCTGTCCCTCTCGCTCGCCCCGTTCTTTCCTGCAACGTTACTTCCAAGCGCCTTCTACGCAGCTAGCGTTTCCGATAGAGTTAGTGCGCTAAATATGGAGCGAGAATAGCAAAAAAAGGAAGATCGAAGGGGGAGGGGAAGGGGGAAGAGGTTTCCTTTTCTCCCCTCCCCTTCCCCCTTTATTCCTCTTTTTTGCTCTCATCCCAAATTTCGTGACGAACTCGCACGGAAACGCTTACTATGCAAGCTAGTTTTGTACTTTAATTTGTGTCGCACCCTTCCCGAGGGGGGGGGGGGAGGAGGGGGTCACTCAATTATTTGGCCTTGACGGGTATATGCCGCTGAACAGGGTATGGTTTTTAGGGTCTTGTGTCTTAAACAGGGGATATAGTTTCAACATTTAGCGTCTTGAACAGGATGTCTTTTAGGATAAAAAGCCTTTAAAAGGTCTGAATGTTGGCGATGAGAGTGGTCTACATGGTATCAACGGGAATGTTCTTTTTTTTCCAAAAAGTCTCATTCCAAGATGTTTGTTTAAAAAATGGTTTGATAATGTATACGGAACGAAATTAATAATGATAATAATAATAATAATAATAATGATTTGGAGGTAGCACATCCACAAAGTGGTTCTTCGTCTGCCCTACCCAGGGTCTTAAGTAAGGTCTCTTGTCTTAAACAGGGTAGCGAAATGAATGATTTTTGTCTAAAACAGAACTAAACACGGCAAACAGTAAACAGTATACCATTGAAGTAATCAGGTCTGATGCGCGCTCGTGCAGTTTGAACTCCCTTGTGCGCTTTATTATAAGTCAATACTTATTTGGCACAGCGGTCTACATGTGTGTTACCCGACAATGTTTCTCAAAAAATCTAATTCCATGATGTTGGTTTGAAAAATTACTTTATTCTGTGTGTGGAAACGAAATGGATGAGGCTCATGAAATTAGGTCTCTTGTCTGACACAGTGTAGTGAAATGGCGGCACACCTCTTCCCGAACGTCCCTTGAGTGACCTCGGGTCAAGTGCAATAATTACAGAGGTGTACATTTGTAGAATTTATACAACTAAACAAGGTTATATCTAACGCGTCTATCTCTTTCACGGAAGCGATCACATACGTATTTAGCCACAATTTTTTGCTTTTTCTCTCCTTGCTTTATACTTATCAACGTTGCAAAGGCAGAGCTTGGAGTCATAGAGTCAAGAAAGAGATTAGTTTCCTTTTTTAGCGTATTGAACAGCTCTGTCCTGGAATCCCTATAGGTTATGCAATACATCAAATAATGCTCCTCGTCCTCTAATCCAGTTTTACATAATGGACAGATTCTTTGGTCTGGTGGTTGATAGGGTTTAACGTATCGTCCAGTTTCAATGGCTAGTTTGTGGTTGCTTAATCTTAGCTTTCTGATTGCTACTCTATGATTGATGTTTCTTACATTTGTGAGGTAATTTTCGTAGTCATGGGTAAGTTTAAATTTCCTAAAAGTTCTTAGTTTGTTTTTTTGATGCGGGTCCTTTCGTTCATCATTGTGTATTTCGCTAATCCATGTTTGCTGTTCTATGTCTAAGAGTCTCTGTCGTATATAGGGGTGGGGATGCTCGTCGAAAATTTTGAATTAAACCCCTAAAGGAGACCGATGTGGGCGTGGCCCAACCTTTTTTTGACCCCTAAAAGAGAGAATGTTAAAACACAGACAATATATATATTTTTAAATTTCTCGCGTGCAACCCTAAACGAGACGTTCACGGCTTAATATGATGGCGTTTTGCCCAGAACACCCTAAGTGAGACCAAAATCCGAATTTTACACCCCTGAGCGAGACGAAGAGCATCCCCACCCCTTTCACATGCGGATTGCCCCCCGGGGGGGGTTCAATTATACATCCCGACTTTTACCCGGGATTAAAGAACCAAATCGAAGGCATACGAGGCAAAATCTAATCAGCGTTATACGTATGGACCTATACAGGTATCAAGGCCAAATGTCTCTTCCTATTCGTCTGGAAAAGGGCAAATATCATTACATGGAAACTAGAATGAAAGATGATCACTTCAAAGCGTCAGATTGGGTGACGGGATTAAATAAAGGACCATATCGGGGACAACCAGTAATATAATCAACCTTATATGTATGAATCTATACAGGTATAGCAACCAAATAGCACTTCCTATTCCTCTGGAGAAGGGAAAATATTATTACATGGAAACTATAATGAAAGACGACCATCAAGACGATCACTTAGAAGTTGGAATGCAGGCACCTGACGGGACAAATTACACAGTAATACCCTCTGCATTCTTGAGGACCAGTTTGCCTGTTCCACCCCGTAAGTCAGTGACAATGAACTTTTTCGATACTGTCAACCTGGCCCGGCTTGTTCAAACGTTGGATAGCGCTATCCACCGGATAATTCACTATCCAGCAGATAAGTATAAGGAAAACTAATTGCGCCATTCAGTGGATACAGATTTATCCAGTGGATAGCGTTATCCACTTTTTGAACAACTGGGGCCTTAAAGACAAATGATGATGATGATGACGATGATGATGATGATGATAAATACTTGATTGGTGGGAGGCAAACCATTATGATGCCAGTTGGCTATTTTATGAGCTTGGTCGCCGACAATTGGAACTCGGGATTACCGAGAACAAATCAAACTGGCGGTCAGGGCGGGACTTGAAATCTGTAAATAACAATTCCAGCGCTTCAGTGACCTCCCAGTATGGGCTGATTGAGAGGTCAGAGTGCAGACAATGGTTGGGAGGAAGATTTCTCTCGATTCAGCGGGATGAGTTGTCGACGTCCGAAGGAATAATGCATATTAAATTGTTATCATAATAATAATGCATTTTAGAATCCTTCGAATCGACAACTTCATTAAGAGCCTATTGTGACAATAGGCTAGAAATTTCTTTCTCCCCATGTGAAGAAATCTGAATTCCGGAGTCCCGGAAATTTTTGCCTGTGGAATCCGGAATCCAGAAATGTTTTCTTGTAAATCTGGAATCCTGGCTTTCTGTAGAGTCTGGAATACAGCTCAAGGAATCCGGAATCCCACTAACGATTGGAATCAGGAATGCAAGTTCCACTGACAAGAATCCGGAATCCAGTCCCTGGAGTCCAGAATCCGTAGCTTGGAATCGACAATCCAAGACGTTCTTGGATTCTCTTATCTGACAATCGGACTTAATCCTCTCGGTTGTGTATTCCCGCTTACAGGACAAGAAATATGGAAGAGAAGTTTTTTTTTTATGAAAAAGGCAAACGGATTCAAGTTGACTATTGGTCAAATCAGGAAAGGGGACATTTATGTCTATTTTGACAACTCACGATCTCTAGTGTTTTAATTCCTAGTTGACAACGATTTGATTCATCCGTACGACGAATGAGATGCATTTTTCCACTGTCGAATTTAAAACGTTTAATTCATTTGTATCATTCCGTGGAGTTAACAACTTCTGAACGGCCCAGTTTATCAATTGAACACTCCTTTGGGGGCGCTAGTTATCCATTCATGGTGGCCAAGAAACGTATTTTTCGGGCTTATACGTCACAAGTGTGAGTGTGATCTATTTGGAAGCACTGTTAACATTCAAAAGTCACGATCGAACAAAACAAAACGAAAGAAAACGAGCAAAGAAACAAAGACACACACAAAGTATCGAGCAGTTAGCAAAAACTGTTGGACAGAGAAATTAATGATTGAGCAAACAGGAACAACCTAACGTCATTTTGAAAATCACGGTATTCAGAGAAACACAATGAAGCCAATCAATGTTTTCCTTACCAGAGGCACAATGCCATCTATTTCCAAATAGCTGGGCAGCCGAGGCAAACAACTTTTCACGCAGAGCAGCAAACCTTGAGCAGTACATGCAGGAAATAATGTTTCGCATCTTTAACAGGTGCATAGAAAACAGCTCAGGCTACTGAAGAATTAGCCTTTGGCAGCTTTTGATAGATATATAGTTTTAGCCAAGCCTAAAAGCGAAGCTTCGGTTTTTAATTTTTTTAAATTAACGATTATTGGATGATAAAGGGATGTTCAGTTCTGCAGATATTCTCCAAATAGCAAATGTCGTCGGTCCAATTGTAGTCTTGTTGTTCTTGCTATGTTTTGAGGCATGCAGTAGTTACCCTATGTCTTCTTCGCGAAACGTGTGAAATGTTCCTTCTTTTTCTACTGCTCTACAACAAAGGAGACTTTTGTCTGATTGGCTGTTAGATCTTGTAGTGTTCAGTCTCCTCACCGTGCGCAAGTGAGTAAACAAAGATGGCTGCCAAAGCCATCCTCCTTCGATCGTTCGTTTAAGATGGCATGGAAAGGTTTACAAAGTGTGATGTCGTTCTCTTAGCCTATAGCACATATAGGGGTCGTTGACAAGATTTTTTGTATATGTGCACATTGCTGAGTGCGTCGCAAAAAGAACTCAACTAAAGCAAAGTACACCGGCTGGGATGGGAAATTTTCAATTTACAAAATGCTACAATTGAGTCTTTTTTGGAGGAGGAAACGTATTTTCAACTTCACTGAAACGTCCTGCCGACCCGAGGAAAACGGAGAAAGGTAAGTTTATTGTTTAAGTGGTATGTTTTATCACTCAAACTGTGTACAACGTCTTGATTTTCAATTATTTAAATGTTGTTGAGTTTTTTGTAAGCTTAGGCTTAGTTCTTCTGTTTCTTGCCAGGTTGTGAATTTCTGACTGTACTGCCTCTTAATGACGGAGTGATGCATGTAGCGACTCAGAGACCTCCTTATTTTTTAATTTTTTTTTCAAAACATTCGGTAAACGTCTGCTTTCCTAACGGATGCGGTTCCTGTAATAAATTTATAATAAATGCTCAAGGGAGGACACCTTCTATTAAAAAAGTATAAGCAAACACTAAATCTGCATCCACAACTAAAGGGAACGCAATAATAGCCTATTTCACAGTCACAGTCGAGGCTGGAATTCACCTCGTTTTGATACAACCCCTCCTTCTTTATTATGTAGATCATGTTGTTCTTATGCAAATATATATTTTTTTTCAACAAAAGTTTACATTTATAAAAAAAGGAAGGAAGTTTAATCGTATCAACCTCAGCCTCACATTCGCTCAAAGACTATGACACAGCGTGCAAAGAAAGTCGTGTCTGATAGCCCAGGGCTAGTGGATTTTGCTATCGGGCTAGTGATTTTTTTTTAACGTGCCCCACGGGCAAGTGCTTTTTTTGGGGGAAATTCAAATAATTTACAGAAGGATTGTAATCAATCCTGCTAATCAAAAAGGTTTTTGGGCTAGTTGAAATGACTTGTGGGCTAGTACATGCTAGCTACTGCTTGCCCGAATGGCAGGCTGTAAAATGGAGTTTCTTTGCACCCTGATGACACCCAGCCCACAACTGTAAAATGGCCAGTTGGTCTTGAATGTAGATACTGTAAGTCATTCTGGATGTCATTCTTTCAGCAATATAATAATTGTGTTTTCCCTTCAGTGTTCTACCATCTATCTATTTCCATTAATAATATTATTATTTCATTTTACCTTCCCTTTCAACAATAATATTAATGTGCACCAGTTACCATGATATACCTCTTTACTAACTTTTAGTACTTGATACAGATTTAGTAACACCAAGGTCTGCATTGCTCAGGGTAGTGGGTAAATCAGATAATGATACAGAAAAAAACTTATAATGGCTGAAGAAAGAGAGTTTCTGTATGAATTTTTTATGAATGGTTACATCGTATACAAAAATTCTGTTCTTCCTATCTTTTATCAGATGTTTACCAGACCCAAAGTTTTAGTTTGTATAGAAAGACAATATGTGAATTACACTCTGAAAAATTTTTGCATAGTATGAATATTTATTATTGTGCTTTGTCACATTATCTAAAAAGAAATGTGACAAATAAGCAGCTGAACATCATGCATTTTTGCTGAAGAAGCCTTGATGATAAGAGTCTCAGCTCTTTGTTAGAGCTCAGAAAAAGTGTATTTCCTATGCATGTCTACAAATATTATAAACACTATATGGCTGAAAGTGTATGGTTATGATTATGGCATCATCTGTTTTGATACAAGACTCTGATATTTTACTCAAGATGAAGAAAATATTTTTCAGCATTCAAAACATAAAGGATATGTAGAAAGTTTGACTGTATACTGTATATTGAAGGCAAGAGTCTAAAATAATTCCACACAGAATAGCTCTCAAGGCTGTGCTTGCAATTGTGCTTGCAGTTTTAAGACTTCATACTTACATGATTGTGCATCCAAGTGGAAAATATGGCAGCTGGCACCTCATCATGAATATAATGTGCTGTTTCTCATGGTCCTGGGAGCAGCTACTCAACAACATTTTACAAGGGGTGGTTTCACCCCAAGTTGCCTACATTTCTCTGCACCCTTTGAGGTTGTGCAAACACATAGACCAAACCCAAGGTCCAATGTCTTATCCTTTATTGCTGACAGGAAAGGTGTCTCTTTTCTCTCTTTCCCCCCTCCCCATGTTCAAACTATTTCTTTTAAAAGAAAAATTCTAGCCACTTGATGAATAAAAGGATATACCCTCCCCAAACACCAAACCCGTAAGGACAGACCAGTAGTAGAAATCAGAAATCAGAGTGGGCGGTGATGTTGTATATCTAGCTTTAGCTATGACAGTATCCACTTCATTGTACATACACTGTATATACTGCACCTACTACTAACTAGTGCTCCACATTGTGCAATGAAGCTGGTGCCGCATGCTTCTCACTCCCAGTGTTAGCTTGCAGATTATTTACATTTTTGCTGATTACTTGAGACTCTTGCAGCAGACTAAGCTGGGAAAGGGATACTGTTGTTTACTGTTGGGTGGTTGTAACATATGAGTGGGCCTATCACTAGAGGGCCTTATTAGCCAGGGTACTTAGAACTGGAATACATTAATTCTTCTTATTTGCAAATGGATGGAAGGAAAATTAGGGGAGCGCATAACCAGGGTTTTAAAGTGATCCATTTTCAATTTTTTTCTTTGATCCACCGGAACAGTAGTTAAAAGAATATGAATGGACTGGCCAGAATTACTTTAGGGAATGGACCAGTCTGAATGACACAAGTTGTAATAATTAAATACTTTAAAAGTCAGGGAGAATGGAGTTTGAAGTAACAAAACCAGATTTGTTTTCACTTAATTAAACAACAATAGATATCATAGCTAAACATTTCACTAGTCTTTCAACTTTTGCACACTTACATTTAATTTATGACATAAGTTTCGTGTTAATTCAATATTTAAGAGGAGACTTTCTGTTTCAATGCCATTTAATTTCATTTCCTCTCAAGCAAGCAGGGAGTTACATGGGCCAGTATGTCATCCACTTTGACCTTACTGAAGAGCTTTTGTGTACTCCAGTTTGACCATCATTTTGTTTTCGCAAACACCTGAAATAGGTGTGTAAATTGTATATTTTAAAACAGCTGCATCTGCAAGACAACAAAACGACATTTTTATCACTATTACATTTTCTACACCACATACGACAAGTTTTCTCAGAGTCTTAGATTTTCGAAATGGTTCGAAGAAAACTGATGTAACGCCATCGCTTACGAATGAGCAATTTTGATCGTATGAGATCCCGCTTCAACCTCAATTTTGAGCAACAAGAACACCCCAAACAATACCATTTTTTTATGCCAAGTTGTAGCAGAGTAAATGTAGTTTCACCTGCGAAAGCCGATTCACATATCACAACTTAGTTTTTCGGATACTCAGGGGGAACCCCGGGCTGTTCAATGTGGATCCGCCTCTGAAAACGCCTTTCAAGTAAGCTTTGTTTACTACAATGCTGAAATATTTGGTTCCATACGCCCCGAGAAAACCAGACTTGGCTGAAATAATCTTCCAGTCACCTTTTATGAAATATACATTTCACTTTAACAATAGACAGCAATTCCGCTCATTTGTAACTCTTCAAAACTCGATGCCCTACAACCAGAATTTCTTAAATTGGATTTCAACCGCACGACTTTCACTCCACCTTTTGTACATTACGGAACACCCCAAATTAGGTACCAAATTTTTACAGCAGATAGTGTATACATGAAAGAGTTACTCATTGATTGGAATTTCCATATCAAAAACGAACACAAAAGTCTCAAGGGTTGGAACCGAGATTTTAATTTTCACGTAGAACAAAACTTAACTTAACAAATTCCAGCCTACGACTTGCTGTAAAATACCACGGATTAACACCAAACGACAGCTGTACCCAGAATTTGAAACAATAACTTTATTACAATGCTGGACTCGAATTCAAAGAAGAAATGATGAAAACTGAGCTCTTAAGAACTTGTTGTTTATCGACACTTTGATTTTGAAATGCAAATAGCCTGGCTTTTTCGCCAGCGCATGGCAAGACGATAAAAATCTAAAATACAAGCACTAGGAACCACGTAATGAATTGTACTTACCACAAAAGACCTTCTCCTTTTTGTTAGCGTCGATTAAGACCTTAGGAACAGCCTTGGGTCACTTAAAAATGACTCCACGATTGCTCGCCGAAACATTGTTGTGAGATCGCCATCTTTGTTAATGTTATGTGTCTACAACTAGCAGAGCTTTATCGACCGAAAAAATGCCGTAAAGAACGTGAAACATGCTTGTCTGTCTTCACGTTGAGTTTGTTTTTATGTTAATGTCCTTTAACTGGCTTACCGTCGACCTGTTGAAGGATAATCCTCCTTCGAAGTTCGGGTGATCAATTTTTGCCGCTCAAATTTGTTTGTTCTGTGAAAAGTACGAAAACCCGAGAAACCTGGGAATAGTTCGAGCATGCGCAGACAAAAGTCTCCTTTCTTCTGCTCTACCAAAACAACTCAACCTCGTCCCCAGGACATGTCGGTTAACGGTCCAATTTTCTGGCATTTATGCTGCACTATACACCGAATGCAAATATGGCAGACCTCTCGCCCAGCCCTGGTCAAGTTGCGCACAAGAGAGGCTAGTGAGGCCTCACGAGTTTTGTTTTGACTTGGCGTCTTAGCGATTGAGTCGATCGATATGGTTTGCTTCGAGTTGTTGCTTCGCTGGGCACCACCAAGAGATTTTACTCTAACAGGAACTACCTTTACTTTCCAGAAAATCTTTTCACAAAGAAAGTTAAGGATTCACGCGAGTCGGCGCGGCGATGGGAAGCACTTCACAGCGAAAGTGCAAGTGCAAGTGCAAGTGAAAGTGGTCGCTTCACTTGCTTTAGAAGAGATGACTCATGAAAGTATTTGAATGAAAGAATTTTCGCAAGAGATGGTGCTGTTCCACGATTCTTGCATAGTCTGTTATTTATCGAACAAAAGGTAAACGTTCTCGAGAACGGAAGCATCCGCTGTCGACTTTAAGATCTTTTAGATTTCACTCTGGAAACAGCTGTATTGAAATATAACAACAATGACGAGTGTGAATGAAACACAACAATAACAATCGCCTGTTAATCCTACAAGCGTGGCCTATGAGACCATGTAAGAACTAGAAGGAAGCGACATGTGTGAAGAATAGTCCTTTGATCAAAGTGCACTGACAAAACTAACAAAGGAAGTGTCGCGAACTAAGAAAGTGAAAAGAAGGAAAAAGGTTCTGGCATGGAAAGAGCGTGCAAGAAATTAGAGCATTGTATTAATTTGCACTTGCGCGTCATATATTTTTATTAAGCAACTTGTCGAAGGGTTTCGAGAATAACAGCGGTTTTCCAAAAATTGCTACTTTTATGGCACTACTCAAACTCTTGAACACAGGATCGTGAAGGCTTTGAAAACATTCGGCCTCGTTGTAAACATTTCATGCGCGCTGAGAAGTGTCCCTGAGAGCTCTTAAGGATTGTTACAGAACCATCTCTCAGGTATTCTCCCATTCAATAGTTTCGTGAGTCTTCTCTTCTGAAGTGAAGCAGGCACACTTTCGTTCTTTTAACTCCGTGATAGTAAAGTACTTCCTTTCGCCTCGCCGAATCGCTTGAATTCTTTTCTTTCTTCGTACAGAACCTTCGCAAAGGGAAGATAATCAACTTTGGTTTCTTCTGGAGTTAAATGTCCTCATTGATGGCTCTTACTCGCGTAACAACTAGAAGCAAACCACATCGATCGACTCAATCGCTAAGACGCGCAGTCAAAACTAAACTCTCAGTAACTCTTGAGGCCTCATTATCCTTGCTTTCGCGCAACTAGACCCGTACCGGCCGAAAGGTGCGCCATATTTGCATTCGGTGTATTGACGTCATTTTCCACATATCGCAAACGTCTTCCAAATTTGGTCAACGATGGCTGTTTATGAAGAATCAACCGTGGGATTTGAGCCAATCGGAAAGTGAGAAATATCTGGAATGAATAAATAAGAAATTCGATCGTAGAACGTCATGAGCTCAGGGTAAGGGCAAGTAGTAGAGAGAGAATAAAGAGAGACGAAGCCAAGAAAGAAAGAAAAAAACATAGTCGAAGATAATAAATAATTAACGAAATGATAGGTTTATCCAAGATTCAAATTCGAAACCCGTACTTGCAAGGTAAGGTACATACTTACCACAACGCTACGTAATGAACCAGAGCCTCAGGTAAAAACAACATTGCCCTTAACGAAGTGATAGATTTATCCAAAATTCAAGCTCGAAACCCTTGCTTGCTAGGTGAGGTACGTGCTTACCAAGACGCTACGTAATGAACCAGATATGAGCCTCAAGTGAAACGAAAAATTGCCGGAGGAAAACGCAGTTTAAAGCCGGTCAAGCCGTATTAAACGTCAAGCATGAATTCAAAGTTGTATTTCAGGGAAAAAGCAGGGTTTTGACTGCAGAGAGCCGAATTTGGACCCCTTATGTGTATTCGAAGAACAAATGCCCTGTAGAGCCGATATCCGACGATAAAACTCGACTGCTAAGTAAGACGCAAAGCAAATGTTCTCTTACCTCGGTCTTATTTTGAATTTAACGGCCTAAATCGCGTACATTTCTGCTTAAAGTACTTCCACAGTCGAAATTCATCGCCAAAAGCATTTTGCGGTGGCTAAATGGCGTTTTTTGCGGGGTTTTGTTTACTCGCGGTCTTTGCTAGGTAACTGTGGACACCTGTGAGCTCGATATATTGCCGCTTCGTGTCTCAGGCTACCTCGTTAGAGATCCATGCGTATTCAAGCATGATGCGAATTCCGACAAAATTGTAAACGGCGCATGGCGAGGAACTTAAAAGTAAAGACTGACTTTGTTTATTTCGATGTAAAATTAGTTACTTTTTTGTGCTTATGAACAGATAAAAACTTCTCCTACCAAGCCATTTTGCTTAAGGTAGCCGCGGAAGCTGGTGCGAAGGCTGGACTATCTTTTGGCGAAAGATGGGCCAAGAAAACAGGCGCAAAAGCAGGAGCTAAAGCTGGTGCAATGGCAGGAGTACAAGCTGGAGCATGGGCTGGAGGAACTGCAGGAGAAAACGCAGCCATCAGAATGATGACGAAAACACTGGAGGATGGGTTAAACAATCTTCATGGTAACGACGGGCATAAATATAAGATTAACGTAGTGGATGGTAACGTGGTCTCAGTCACTGGACCTGGAATGACAGGAGCCACTGCAGCTGCAGGAGCAGCAGCGAATGCTTGGGCTGGAGGGACTGTCGGGGTAGGTGGGTCTGGTGGGGCCGGTGGAAGTGCAGGCTCGGCTGGAACTGCTGGAACAGGTGGAACGGCTGGAGCTTCTGGTAGTGCTGGAACTACGGCAGCTGCAGGAAGTGCAGGTGCAGCGGCAGGTGCTGCTGGGGGAGCCGGGGGAGCCGGTGGAGCCGGAGGATCAGGGGGTGCTGTAGGTGCTGGGGCTACTGGGAGCGCCAGTACAGGAAGTAGCTCGTCTGGTGTTGCTGCAGCAGGAGGTGCAGCGGCTGCTGGTGGAGGAGGCTCTCAGGTTTCCGGTGCTGCAAGTGTAGGCGTTGGAACTGGAAGTGCTGGAACAGGCGGAGCCAGCTCTGGCACAATAAAACCTGCCAAAGTGACGTATATACCAAAACCAGGAGAAGATCCACAATTAATGGCACTTAATTTGGTCTGGAGGGCCGGGGGAGCGAGGAAAAGTAAGTGAGATAACGTTATCGATACTAGCAAATTAACTCTTTGGAAAACCCGCTAATGTTTGGATAGACGGTGTAGCTGTTTTTACAAGACCGTTTTTACGTTTAAAATCATTCTATCAAATTAAGAATATCTCATATCTGAGTTCAAGTGTAAGTTTTGAAGATAGATAACGAGGCAGTAGTTAGTGAATAGTTATCTGAATAGTTTGTATTTGCCTTTGAAGTATCATCTTTTATCAATAAATTGAAACCATACTTAGAAGAGATGAAGTCATCTTTCCACCCTTGCATTCATGTATCCATGCATGCATGCATGCATGCATCCATTCTGATTCATTCATTCAGTCAGTCAGTCATGCATGCATGCATTCATTCATTCATTTATTCACTGGGTTTTCAAAGGTTTTCTTAGTTTTGGGGGCTTCGTTCTTTAACTCTTCACCTTTCAGCGGCATAAGACTCAACAACCGCGGGTGAAAGTAAAAAAAGATAAACCTCAAACGAATATTCTTTCTTCCGCTCAACTATGGAATAAACTTCCAGAAGATGTCAAGCTGGCCGATAATGTTAATATTTTTAAGTGTAAGCTAAGATGAATTCAGCTGTAATTTTTATATTTTCCAATTTTTTGTGTAATTTTAATAATTTTTTATATTCATGTGTACATAGATTATAGATTATACGTTTAATTTTTTTATACTAGATATTATTACTGCGTTCGAGGTACGAGAACACAACCCCTAATTTGTGTTGGGTATTCTGTGCATTATTGGGTGTCCTGTGCAATTAATAAGGGAGGTTTTTTCGAGATTGCATTCGTCGTCGTCGTCGACACACATTTGCCTCGCTTTGAGGCGCTTGCTTACGTTTTGCCTCACTTTGACGCGCTAACTCAAGTGGTGATTCGTGTGTCCTCGGCGTTCATCTTTCAAACGTTTGCTGAGGTCTGCTATTCTGTCTTCGTAAATCGTTCATCTTTTAAAAGTGTGCTGAATCTTCATAAAGCGTACATATTTAAGAGTTTGCTGAAGGTCTACTATCAATCTGTGTTTAATGAATCTTCCAAAGCGTTCACCTTTCAAAAGTGTGAGCACTAAAACTTTACACCCTGAGTAAAATTTTACTTTGGATTAAGCCTTCATATTTTTCTTTGGAAAATGCGTGCTACTCCTGGTGGATGCATCAAACCGGGTTGTTTAGCTCGGCGTCCATTGTGCCACAAAGTAAATTTACCAGCGAGTTGTGAAGCTCAGCGTCTGTTGTGCCACAAAGTAAATCTACTGAGTTGTGTAGCTAGGCGGCCGTAGTGCCACGAGTAAATCTACCGAGTTCTGTACTTCGGCGGCCGTTATTCCACAAAGTAAATCTACCGAGATGTGAAGCTCGGCGGCGGCCGTTATACCACAAAGTAAATCTACCCAGATGTGAAGCTCGGCGGCACCATTTCATCATGACTTGTGATATTTTCGGCACTGAACAAACGAACATTTTAGCTCTATGTTATTTATTTGGAAAAACGTGCCCAAACCACTGAAATCATCCAATGCACTCGACCAAATTACTGGAAAAGTTATTGACGTGAGCCGCACACACATTCCACTGAAGGCTTTGATGATTCCCTTGAAACGTGTGAAATTGAGAGGTGTAGTGCAAGTGAACCAGTGTTTAAACACAACCATTGTGTCCCGGCATTCACCACAAAAATCTGGTCGTAGGTCGTTCCGATCTTTAATATCATCACAAGTTAAGAAGACTTACCAGTAACGGTTTCCGGCATTTTATAGTAAATTTCAGTAATTGTCTACAAGTGGAATTCCCAATATCAAATAAAATTAATGATTACATCTAAAACTTTGTCAACTGTTTGCTTTTTAACAGTACCTGGGCCGGGCTTTTCAAAGCTGGGTTAAGATAACCCAGGCGAGGAGGGTTAGTGCGAAATTTGAACTCAGGTGTGAAAGTTGATGATTGGACGCTCTTAAAAAGAACTGAGAAAATTATCCAAAGAAATGTTTTTTAACAAAAGAAAAAGAATCCCGGGTTAAGCGCTGATCTGCCTTCGAACAACTGCGCCCTGTAGAACATCTTTTGCGTCAGTAAAACAAAAAGTTCTTTTTACACGCTCGAAGCACTCTGGCCAGAGTCTCCTCAAATAACAAGCACTTGAGACGAACCATACGATATCAGGCTGATCACTAGCCTTCAAAACCTTTTCATTATCATACACAGTTTAAATGGAGGTTTCGCTGTACGCAACCCTTACGTTCAAAATATGCCATAATCATAGTTATCTATCGCAAGAACCATCCACCCTTTCCCCTCAACTGCTACCTGTACGCCTAGCAAACATATCGAACGCACTCTCCTAAGCTCCGATTACTCCTAGTTATAATTTTAGATTTAATGCACGTTCGTATTTTGAACGAGCACTTTATTATTGTTGTTGTTGTTGTTGATATAAGGATAACTAGCATTATCTGAATTAGTAGAAGTAATATGACTTATAGTTTTCTATTAATACATTTTGCAAGTTGCAATAAATTGATTAATCTATTATAATTGTTACCTTTTAGAATTATTGAAGCAATGAAATATAAAAAAGGATTATCCTACATAAAGATTCGTTTATTGTTGTTCTTGTACTTTTCTATAATTTTCATTATACTTAAATATGTCTTTCTAAATTTTTTGTTCATTATTTCTTTGTCTTAGTCGTAGCAAATGGAATGTATACTTTTCATTCAATGGTTGCACCGTACAGCCAGGAAAATCCCTTCCTCAACGATTGCTGGAGATCAAAATATGGTTTATTCTACTTAGATAAATTTTGTCAGGTATTTATTACCCGTATTCCTGCCTTGTCAAAAGAAGCCAGCACATCGAAAGACACAGTTTCCTTTGAATCTGCATGTCGGCCAGGATATTTCTTGCGCCAAAAGAACTATCACTTCATTCTCCAAAAGAGAGACGGAACGGAACTTTTCGGTAGGTAGACATCAGAATCTTTTGCTTTCAGATCCAGTTCGCGGGGTGTGGTGGTCCCTTATATGATATGTAGGCATGTGCCGCCCCAAATGGTACAGTTTTTGTCACAAAAATGGGTATAGCTTTTGCCCATTATGGTCTATCTGAATACGGACACGGTTTTAAATGGAACCACGAGGACGTATAAATTTATTAGTTATTCAGCTATAAACGTTTTTTTTTTTCAGATGAATAAGATCGCCGAGTGTCAAATACTTCTTAATAATAAATAATGCTTTTGTTGACTTCACTTGAACAAGGTAACCGGGGGAGGTACACCCATATATGGGCTATATGGATTTTGAGGGCTTCCATCCTTAAATAGGGCATTATTTTGACCTTTGTTTGCGTTGTGCTCGCCTATCCTCCCTTGGTTCTCGGTGTGATCCTTAGAAAGGGTTCCTTACTATATGAGCTAAAAATTCAAGTGCGTATCGCGTATATGCCCATCTGCACCAGAAACAAATCACCTGTTAAAACTGAACTTTACTTTCGAGAAATAGGAAAGCAATTAAAGAAAGATTCGTGTGTTTCCATTAAATTCTTAGCCTGTGTACAGACGTCCCCCCTCCCTCAGAAAAAAATCGGGAAAAGAGACCCCTGTGAATCGCCGTCGTGAATCGTGTAGTTCCGGTTACATTTGTATAAATTATTATTTTTTTGTGTTTTTCTCTGACAGTTGAAAAGATGTTGACGACTCTGGACTTTTCTAGACCACGTACGCAGTTATTCTCTCGAATGTTCTCAACCTTTATAGCTAACCTAGTAAGCTCTAACTAGAATATCTATCTAAAATGTCATTTATAACGAGTATAATATGCCTTCTTCATATATTCTAAAACATTCTTCGGTTTTCTTTTAGCTCATAAAGTCGGTCTGTTTATTCGGTGCATCGATTTGCTGTCGTTTTTGGTTTGACAGAATTTGATCCCGGAAGCACTGTTTACCTTTCCAGTCAAGCGTTCTATGCAGGAGTTGATCCATTCAATGATTTCGAGTAGGTTTCACGTAAAGGATCGTTCACTTTTCTTCAGCAAGGAATTGTAATAGAAATAGCTCTACTTTTGCCTAATTCTACGAGTCGTGACCGGCACAAGTTAGGGGCACCCAACGACGGTTTTTATAAGGGCTTTAGTAGTATTTTCCCGAAAATTTTAGATGCAGTTCAACGGATTATTATCTCTCCATCACATTTTCGAATCCGAAAATTTTAAGTTTCCCTTTTTGTAAGAAAAATAGCCTAACCTGGGCAGTGAAATGTGAAAATGAAACTTCAGAAAATCGTAGGGAACTTATTAGATGAGCCTCAAAAATTGTATATGGATGGAACGATCATTTAGAAATTTTTAGCCGTCCTCAAGCTACAGAAAATTCTAGGTACTATTTGCTTCTCCGAACAGATATTTTACAGAAAACTGTCGTTGGGTGCCCCTAACAAGTAGGCCGAATGAGCCTTTTACAGACGCCGGGGGGCGTCTGTAACAGGCTAGCCGAACATTTTCACGCAATTTCCACTCTAAAATCCAGATATAAGATCTCTCATTAAGCGTTGAATTCTGTACGTCCTTCTCTTTTATTTACAATAGCCACCGGCAGAGAACAGACGCACCCGCAACCGGTGCAGCAAACACCAGTGGTCCGTTAACTTAACATGCCTATTCCACAGAGCCGTAATACATTTAAAATAATTTAAATGCGGTAAGCTGTCGATAAAGGCTGAGGCTTCCCTGGGGAATCTATTTTGAGATTCATTCACCAATATCAACACCAGAAATTATTTGCGTCATACAACCAATCAGAGGCTTTCCCCAACATTCCGGGGAAACGGGAACACGATTAACGACGGCGATTCACAGACGTCTCTTCTCCCGATTTTTTTCTGAGGGAGGGGGGACGTCTGTACACAGGCTATTAAATTCTTAGTTTTTCTTTTTCCCTTGAATTGTCTCATTTTTCAGGTTTGGGCCTTAAATAAGCTATTAGTTTTGGTCTGTATCATCCATAAATAGGGTCAGGGTTTAAGACCCTGGGTGGTACACACCTATCCAAAATTTATGCGATAACCGCCCCCACCAGGAAAAAGGTAATAGATTGGCGAACAGAAAACAACTTTCAGAGGCCAGTTCTGAAAAAAGGGTGGGAAAAAGTTTTGTGACTGAGATAAGGCTATGATTTGGTAAACCGCGCGAAAGGTTTCAAAGAGTAAAAGTTTTTCCTCTTCACTTAAAGACTCAGTTTCGCGAGCCGCCACTTTTCTTCATGCTTAGCAACCTAGCCCTTTTATCCGTGACGGCATTCCGTCGAAGGTAAGCTGATTGGCAGGAAGTTCAAGTGGAATGCCAACTTTCAAGAAACAAAAGAGGCAAGGTCGATTTTACTGTCGGGAATATATATTTCTTTTAAATTTAGCAATATTTAGGAGGGCACGGCCTTCTTCTTCAGGGTCTTGCATACAATGATAAGATGAAGCTAAGACGTTAAAATTTGAAATAAAGAATAGCTAGCCTGTACACAGACGTTATTTTATTTTTCTTTTCGTTCTTTTTGGAGAAAAATCGGCGAGCAAGCGATAGTGTGCGATATGATACTTTGATAACAGGTGAAAATTTAAATTAGAAGAAAATTGAACCTTAAAAGTACATCTATATGAAAACAAAAACCGTTGAATAAGTAATATGAAAGAAATTTGAAATGTAAAAATAGTATAAATAAATGATTACAAACGGAAGAAATAAAAAATTTAAAAAACATTGCAATATTCTTTAAATTATTTTGGTACAAGGATTTTGTCCACTGAATATTAAAATTACTCAATTTCCTGGTAGATTTCGTCTTAATATTTTAATTGTCATCTGTTATTAAATCCCCAGATAAAGACAGTTCATTTTTTATCTACGACGTCGTGACGTACACTCGCAATTTTCTCTTCAATTCGATGCACAAAGACTGGTATATCTGCGAGGAAAATAGGGCTGAAGATCGTGGAGTTCACAAAACAAGTAAACTTAGTCTAGACTTTTACAGTGGTAACCCAGACGTTCTTCCACGTTGTGCCTTTATACTCAACCCAATAGAAAAAAATGGAGACAAGTTTAGGAACTGTAAAAACTTTATTGGGCCAGTGGAAACTGCAGAAATAAGCGGACAACCTCTTCCTCATCCACCTCATTTGGTTTCGAATAAACCACCGTCTCCTTTTGGTCTACCAACCTGTATACCAGTTTGCCCAGCGGGAACAACACAGCCGGGAGCTCAGGCAGGACAAGGGAGTATGGGCCAAGCGGGTCCCGGCACCTCCGCTGCTGGAGCGAGTTCATCACATGGAGTTCAACCCTCAACAGCTGTTCAACCCTCTAACAAACGTAAGAGATAGACGATGAATATACGTAACTTCCTCTAATACAAGCTTTCCCTTGATAAATACTACCCTTCCCTTTGATACAAAAAAAAAGAAGTCATTGCTGCCACCTACTCTTACCCTTGAGTAATCAAGAGAGATGATAAACAAATATGGTGTCAAATGAGCGCCTATTTAAATTTTTTGAGTCGAGAGGATGGCTCAAATAGGAAGGGGGATTATGGCTATAACTTTCCGAAGGAAACATCAAATAATCGCACAAAACCCACCTTTCCAATAAGCAGCCGTTTATCGCGCGAAGGATATAATTGTCCCTGCTTTCAACTTTTATTAAAAATACAGAAAAAAGGAAATTAATTAAAAGTGGTTACGGGTGGGGATAAGTGGAGAAGGTTTAAATAGATTGCATTCAGATCAACTTGTTCAACAGTCTGACACTGTTCACAGTGATCGCACCCCCTCAAGAGGGTCATATTGGCCATAACCGTCAGACGACCGAGGACGTAACCGTCAACCATCAAAAAGCTAAATTTTTTTAACGCCAGCCATCAAGGGCCCATTTACAAACGAGTGAGAAAGAATATTATTATTTCACTAAATCATCATCATCGTTCGACCCGGAAGAACAATCGACTGTAAATCGTCTGACTCCAACTGTGGCATGTGTATAATTTTCTTGTATGGTAATGAAGTCATGTTGGAATAATAAAAGAAGGTAACTGTTAACAATTTTTAGCCTTTAACCGTCAGAGCAAACCCCCGATTATGACTCTTACTATAATGTACGTAACTCCGTTGAAATAATTGCCTCTGAAATGTTTAAAGATGGACTTTCCTGTATGCGACAGTATCCGAGGCGGACCATGGTTCACCATAAACTTGTTGCTTTTTATCACAGCATACTGTGTTGCGGTAATCTTCGACAACAAGGTTGGCTCTCCTTTTACCTTGTACTCTTCTCTAAAACACGAGGGATATCTCGTCACTGGATCTGGCTTTAAACTGAAACTTTTGATAGATCGACCAGAACTGCACAGCCACGTGACCTTCTACGCTAAAGACCGAGGTGGAAATCGAGGAGACTTGTTAAATGGGGAACCAAGTATTTCAAGGCCTGTGGTTTCTAACTGTGATTATTTTTTCCCGGTAACTGTGACAGCCGAACAAGGCTCTTCAAGTTCACCCCCCGGAGCCCCGGTCACATCTCCCCCTTCATCTGTTCCCGGACAGTATGCACCGCCAGCTGCTCCACCAGCTCCAGCAGCCCCACCTCTTCCTCCGTCACCACCTCTTCCTCCTCCACCACCTCCTGCTGCACCTCCGCCTGCCTTACCTCCTGCGTCAGCATATCCGGCTCCGCCGTCCCAACCTCCATTAGCGCCACCATCTCCTCCGGCTCCGTCCACAGCACCGGTACCCCAGCCGGCTTATGCTCCACCTAGTCCGTCCATTCAAGGTGCTCCTTCCATGCCAAGAGGCAAGTAAATCATTTGCTAATAGTAACAATATAATAATAATAATGATGATGATGTTAAAAATAATAACTGATAAATTGTTTTTCTCTTAATGTGCATTATGAAATTCACTAGAAAGTATATTTCGGTGTGAAATGCATGGATATCATTTATGACGAAAAGACAACTAATTATGCTCTTTTAGTTGATAATAACAGTAACAGCATGTATAATTAATTATAACATGGAAGTTAATAATGATAGTTACCTTCCCTTTTCTAAAGGCCTGTTTACATGGTTTCTTTTGTTTTCATGCTCTGGAAGACACAAAACAAAAGAAACTTACCCCACTAGACCGGGGTCCCCCACTCCATGTAAACAGGGTCTAAGGAGTTCAATAGCTCTCTTTTTTGTTATAATTGAAGACACCTCGAATCATGAAGGACTTACTAAACTCCTTTTATTTCTCTCGGCCGTTTTGTTTGTCGCCTAAGAAATATTTACGTCTGTTCATCAAAATTTAATTTTGGCCTGCAAACGGGCACTCGGCGGAGAGATGGAAGCTGGTGAGATTACTTGAAGGTTTCACTCTAATTATTTTCAGCGTTAATTAATAATTTTTTGATGTTACAACTGATGGATTATTCAATGACGTAGCTTTCGAATTCAATACTGATTCCCTTGCCCTTCTAAACAACAAAGGTACTTAATTTTAGACAGCAATATACTTTGGCAGCCTCCCCGTACGTACGATTTATCCAATAGTTTTATTTAATCAGTTTATAAATAAATAAAAGGGTTTTTTTTACCGTTTGCAGACAATGGGTCGGTTCATTACCATTACCACTATTATAAATCCAAGACGGCTGACCACCTCCATGGTAATGATACACTTTTATTTTATGTATTTAGCACCCATAACAAAGCCTTATTTTTCTTAAATTTCACCATTTTCACCTAGGCCATAATGCACTAATTTACTTTTTTTACTTTTTTTGCATAACTCGGCGTTGTCTTCGATTTTCCTTGGTACGCCAGTAATACCCGGGAGAAATTGGAAACAATGGTTATGCAAAATTTTGATGGGTTTGTACTATCGACCGAAGTGAACAAGAAAACAACGCCATACTTGTTTGTCTCGAATAACTCCGTACTTTCACTGACGGATCACGTGACGTGATGAACTCGAGATTAACAACATTAAAGGGTTAACAAGGTGCATTATGGTCAATGTGAAAATGTTGAGTTGATAGGGGAAGGAAGTTAAAATAATGATCTTGCCCCAGTTGTTCAAACGTTAGATAGCGCTATCAACCGGATAAATCACTATCCAGCGGATATCTATTAGGGAAACCAATTGCGTTAGAGCGATCTTCGCATGACCTCGAAAAATGGTTTCGGTAAGTGTTTGTTATTTGTTTCATAAGCCAATAGGTGAAAAAATCAAAACATGGCCTCGAATAAAAACCCGAATATGGAGAAGGCATTGCTCGATTGGCCATTTGTGTTGCAGTATGACGTCAAAGCGAAGTATCGGTTGATTTCTAGAAAGTTCTCGGGCATGAAGTTTCTTCAGCCGAGCGTTGGCTTAACCAACCAGAAGCCACGCGCGTTTGTATCTGTTCGTTAAGCCGATCAAATCGCTCTATTTCCGTTCGTTTGTTGTTTCTGTTTTGTTCGCGCGTTTTCATTTCAAGGTCATACGAAAATCGCTTAATCTAGTACTGGACAAAAATTTATCCAGTGGATAACGCTATCCACCTTTTGAACATCCGGGGCCAGGAATCATTTCCACACTTCAGATCATTCTTCAAATTTATTTATTTTGGCGTATAAGTCATCACCAATCAGACTTAACATCTGTGAAGGATTGGTTCGATTACCAGCCGATACGCGGGAAAATGAGCCCCCACTCATCTCCCCAAAAGAGATTCGGGGAGGATCAAAGTCCAGACTCTGGGGACGGCGGAAATCGACCCTATGTGAAGGATACTAAATAATTAGATCAGATAGCCATGTGAAAGATACTAAATAATTAGATCAGATAGCCAATCTCGACTCTTTTGTAAACGTTTTAAGAGCAAAGAAGAGTGTTTTACCTAATATCCAATATTTTTTCATATGTTTGTTTCTGAAGCTTGCCCAAGCAGCTGTTCTCCTAATTCTGTTCCATGCCCTCCCGCCTGTCCGATACACTGCTGTAAGCGAGACTTGGACGAGTACGTAGACGAGGAGGGCGACGAAGATCAAACAACAGAGAAATGATTTTGCCTTTATCCTAGAAAATGGAACTTCTGTAATGTAGATGATACATGTACAGTTTGTCCTGCACTTGGGGATTAGACGACCTAGACCTTGGTCGGGCTAGAATGAAAGAAAACAGCACAGAAACCTTAATGAAAAGCTAGACAAGGGCCTTGATTACATTATCCTGCTTTCTCAGCTTCATATGCCTTGTTGTAGATACTCACAAACTTGGCTTCCAGCAAGCTCTTGACTAAGGGGCGAGGGAAGAGTACTGGAGAGCTCACTTGAGGTCTTGCTAGCGAGCAGCCTCAGCCAACCTGTCTAGCCGACATTCTAGGCAGCTTAAGCAACAACGACGGCAAAGGCTACGAAAACGTCACTTAAAAAGTGAAGTCGCACTGCTTCAAACTTTATCGCTTTTATTCCATCTCGTTCAATTTGTCAAATGTTGGCAATCTTTTCTGGAGTTGAATTCTAAATGACTCTACCGAAGTTCAGGGAAAGAAAAAGAAAGTCGTTTGTCTCTATTGTGTCTTGTGTTCACGTTCTCCACAAAACGTGAAATTAGGTATTTTCACGTCGTGGTCGTGCAGTGATGGAGAAGAAATACAGCTATTTCGAGAAAGGTTGTCGGAAAAAATGTGCACGCGACAATCCCGAAAGGTGATATGGGATATGATCAATACACTTTTCCTGACACTGTAGCTGTCGAACCTACTTTTGTTGCTTTCCTTTAGCACTCGCAAACATACTCCCATGGCCTCTCCTGCCATTCTTTCAAATTTCTTTGAAGAACAGTGAACCTAAAACTGTCGCGTGCACTTTTTCGGACAACCTTTCTCGAAATAGCTGTATACAAAAAAGCGTGATGCACGTGAACAGTTGTTATTTTGCCAGTATAACGTATTGCTTTTTTGCCGTTCTTGTTGACGTCGTCGTCGTTTCGTAAGCTCCCTTCTACCAAAATAAAGGGGCTGTATCATGGAAGTGGCCCATTTTGTTTAGCGTTTCCTATGGCTTACATTTAAGTCTCTCTAAAAAAGTTTATGACCGTTTAACACAACACCGGCACCCTTTGGCTGGGGCTTATATTAACTGTATTCGCTGTTCTTGGCAGCACTCATTTGCAATCATTATGTATTTCTCTAAATAAAGTAGATATGGTTTTACTCAAACTCAAAAAGACGCCATCTTAAGTTTTCGGAAGACCACTCTGGTTTGGTCCATTTGCTATAAATCACGCACTTGACGCGTGGTTACCGCTTGACTTCTTTATAGTGGGTCCCATTTAACCAGCAAACTTGGATAGAGCTCCATGCCACTTTTCCGCTTTTCATTCACAAAAGAAAATTCTACCCAGGTAAAACTGGTTATAATAGAATATACGTATGGAAAACGCATATCGAAAGTCCCGAATTGAAGCTCTGAAGTTTATATTCTGGGGCTTATGTTCAGAGGGGCTTTATATAAACAGCTAATCTCAGGAAGAACTGATTTACGTTTCGAAAACCCATTGGTTTTTGAGCGTGATCAAGTGATCTCAGTTTTATATTTTTTACTTTTCCTGTCCCTTAACTCAAAACATTGATTTGATTGTACAGTATATAGATCTTTAAAGTAATATATGAAGAGAGGGAAGAATAAAGAGGAAATATACTTTTAAACCGTGTTTATTTCTCAAGTCTTGTAATACAGTTATTCAGCCAGTGTAACGCTGGAATTAGCGCCCGCTTTAAAAATACACCTTCCTCCTCGGAACACGGAATGAATTACAGTAATAAAACAGCGTAAGATTCGTATATTTTTAAATATAATGATAAAACAATGTAAACTGGAGTCGATTAAACCCGTAAAATATGAATAGTAAATAGCCCTCGCCCTCTCCTTCTCTTTTCGCCCTAGAGACTGAACTGAGCGCTCAGTGCGCTAATTTGAGCATGCGCATTTATTGTTTTAACAGACAAAGGGACTTTGAGACGCATACTGAAACTTTTAGCCGATCCTGATATACCTGAAATCTTCAGGAGTTATAAGGTAGAGATTTTGAAAGCAGGTGGAGATTCACATAATCATAAAGCAGTATAGGTTTGCAGTGCCATGTTAGAATGAGGGAGACTGTTGCGGACTTACACTGATCAGGTGACCAGTTGCGTCTTATCACCGTATTTGGCGAATGAAGAAAGCCCTTTATGCGTCAAACCACCATATCGGGGGGGAGGGGGTGACGGTAAGCACATGTTACAAAACCTTGCCCAAATGAATTCCGACAAGTACCTAACCATCGAAGAAAAATCTTGGACGCCTAAAGAAACATACAGAAGTACTTAACTGACAATATATTGGGCTAATTAAAGAAACTCGTACCCGCTCCCCTCAAAATTTCTTATTGCCCAGCCCTTATGAGTCTATAATGAGCAGTCGACTAGGGTGTTTTATACATGAATGAGAAAAGAGTACCTGCTTACCAAAGTGAAGGAGGGGGAAGGCTTCAAGGGAATATACATGTATGAGTTAACGTGGATGGCGTAAACTGATAAATTTGATGTTTAATTTCGTTAGTCTTATTTTCGATCATTCAAATTGTGACTATTTTTCATAATAGTACTTCCAACAGAGTGTCACTGGTGTTAATTTTTGTTTTACGTTGATCACCCATCGACAAACGAATACATAAATATTTAATGTTAAAATTGACCTCACTGAAGAGGTCTTCTGTTTCCTCACCCTTTCTTCAAAGCTTTTGATATGAGGCGTTTTGCCATTTTTTTTCTTGAAGTAAGTGCATTTGCGTTTATTGTTGTTTCAAATAGCCACGATTCTCAAAGACGAAAAAGATATTGGAAAGTGGGTAGGTACCGTGTTACTTTTAACATAACCAAGCTAGTGTTCTGTTTGATCTGTTGGATACATTTTTCCTTTCATTAATAAAATGCGTATTTGTGACGATATTGACATGACTCGCTTCTACAGATACACTGTTCTTACTGACAGTATTTAGTGTCCCCTTAGCGGAGTTTGCCGCCCACCACAACTCTTTAATAAACGTGTGTATTTTCCTTTAAAAAGCAGTGAAAGAAACCGGCTGACGACTGATTCTCATTACCTGCAAGACTCTAACATAAGGGCGTTATATACAAGTGACGAGAGTCACACAGGCACAAACACGCCACCAAGTATCTTTACTAGCTTAGACTGTTTTAAAAGTCTTTTTTCATTTTTATCATTCGATATAAAAGGAAAAAAAAAGATTTTATGATTTATCAGACGACCTGTGATTTATGTAGACAATCAAAGTAAAATCAGGAAAGATCACAGATGTAGTTGGGGCCAGGCTACGGGACGTGTTTCCGCCAAAAGTAGCAAAACTGAAGGAGTCCATATTTAAATAAGTTTTCCTCCATAATATCGATTTTTTAAAATTTTCAAGACTAGAAAAATAACAGTACAGAACATAGCCCTAGGCTGCAATGACCGCTGGTCACATTTGAGTTTCCTTTATCACCATAAAAAAGCAAAACAATCCTTCACAAATTGCCATGATTTCGGTTCCGTAAGATTAAGTCTATAAGAACACACAAAATTCACTTGTTTATTCATACCTTCATGTATGTACACGACTAAATTCATTCATTCTGCAGAGACATTCACTTTTAATTTAAACCTTATCTAAAAAGTATTTGTTGTTATTTGGAAATTTTTTTTTGCCCTCAGTGTATATTGCGCCCGACTGAGTTTGGATAAAGATTATCTGATGGAGCACTGAACGATGCGGTTGTGAGCGCATTTTTTGAACACTGAATATGAAAAAAATATGGATGTAATGAGATTAGGATGAAACAGAGCAGTTTATCATTGATTTTCTTTTTTATCTAGTTAAAGGTGAACAAAACGTTATCCGTAGTAAAAGGACGTTTGGCAGTTCAGAGCCACCTTGTAACAGTGAGTATAATTTATCGTCATTCTAACAGTTTGGATAATTCCCTCAAGGTTGCTAATAAACGGAAGAAAAACGCACGTAAAGGGCATTGATTTGGCTAGTAAACAGAATTCTTAGGTAAAAAAATCCTATCTCCCGTACGTAAGTGAGTTCCTTCAGTGGCGATGTTATTTGGTGCATTTTAAAATGAGTAAAAGATGAAGAAAGGCGGAAGACTTCAGTAAAGCTTGTCGTGTAGGAAGGTAAAAGAGGCAATTCGTATCATGAGACTCCATCTCATCATACATGAACAAACGGTTAGACACGTTCTTCTCATGTCAGTCCCAGGTTAATATAACTTAACAGTAACCGGTTAAAAAAAAGTAATGTGTGTGATTAATGAAGGTCTTTTTCTTTTGTGTAGTGACCAATGGTGTTTACTTGGAGAAATGGGAGAAGATTGATTATAAACGCATTCGATTTTTGCTGGAGGACCCACGATATCCAAATCTGCCAAGCTTCAGTACGTGCATTCCCACATTCGAGCAGCCTTCAAATTGGGGAGACTTCTTTGGCTCACGTTTGAGGACATACTTTGTTCCATTTCAAACTGGGGACCATTACTTTTTCCTGTGTAAGAAGTTTTTACAGATGATTATTTTCAGCTTACAAATTCAATCAATATCTGAAGTAATTTTTAAAAAAAAGTTTGGTTAGTATTTTCTAATTTCGTGGAAACTTTAACTACTACTACTAAGAATGTGACAAATGCAACGTCTTTAGCTATCGAAAGGGTACAGAAGGCACTTCTAATTTTTTTCATTCATACTATATTCATTATACACTTGAAGTTTTTTTATTCATCTCATGACAACGTGTTTTGTTTCAGCTTCTAATGCTGGAAGCGCGCTTTTCTTAAGTACGAATTCATCCGTCGGAGGAAAAACTCTCATTACCTATGTTGATGGAGGCTTCCCTACAAAGATATACGAATATGACAGGTATAAGAATTTTCAATCAGATACAGTTTCAATTTTTTATCTAGTTAATGCTTGATTTGTTCAACGGATAGAGCGCCTGTGCGGTCGGTCTGTCACGTGATAGGTGCGCGCAAGAGAGAGTAATGAAACAGAGAAGGAATCGTGGGACGTTGGCCAGGATACTTGAATTTCGTTAAGTTATTTTTAGAGGTTGTAATTAAACAGGCCCTATTTGTTCAAACATTGGTTAGGGCTATCGATCGGATAAATCACTATCCAACAGATACGTATTGGGGAAACTACAGTAATTGCACTATCCATTGGACGGAGATTCATCCGGTGGATAGCACTATCCAGTCTTCAAACAACCGAGGCCAAGAGTCTTATTCTGGGGACGTCTGTATATTTTAATCTATTGTTTGAAACGTCATCAAGTCCAGGTGCGACTGCCGCAAAGCAAATGAATGCAGAATATTGCAGTGGAGCAACATCATTATACTCTATTGACAACATTGATTGAAAGTTTGCGGACCTCTTTGGAAACCAACGTCCGATTAATTTCACGGGTTTAATCGGTCTAAAATAACTTTGGTGATTTTCACATATCCCAAGGGCTAGACTGGGCGTTTTCCTATCGGCCCCATTATTCTCGCTTCTCTAATTTTTTTGCCTGTTGTTCTACTCTAATGACATGGCAATTATCACATCACTTAGGATATATGAAAGAAATCTTATGATTATGTGAACTGCAGTTGGAGGCTATGAAAGTGATGTAATCTTCCAGTTAATTAAACAACTTTAGTGGTTAAAAAACTGAAAAAAAAATTCAGATATACGACAGTTTCCCAGCCCTGGGCACTAAACATTGAAGAAGACCTCAGTCTTGTCAGATTCCTCTCTTAAACACCGAACTTGCAGGTATACAAACCAAAAAACCCTCCCGATTTCATTAAAGAAAGGTAAGTATTACTACATGGAGGCTATCATGAAAGACGATCACCAAGAGGATCATTTAGAAGTTGGTTTGCAAACCCCGGATGGAACATTCTACAAGGTGATACCCTCCGAGTTCCTACGGACCACAGTTCGTCTTTCTGCTTGTGAGTATAGCCTATACCATTTCTTACATGGTCCTACGTTTATTAAGAGTAGAGACAATGGATTTGTGCAGAGAAATTTTCAGTAATGATCAAACCTTTTCCAACCCGTCATTTCTAGCATCTATAAGAATGTAGAGTATGGCTGACTTGTTAACTTATTCACTTGATTTTTTTAGTAGGTCAACGTCATAAAGCAGTTTTGCTATTTGCATTGACAAAATGAAATCAGCATTTTTTGGTGTCAAGAAGGCTCTTCTGTATTTTCCTCAGATAAGATATTTCTAAATGAGTACTTCTTTGACACAGGAGAGAAACCCAAAACGAAAACACTTTTTTATCTTGCTTATGATCATCTGGGGATGACATCATTTCCATTTCACCTTCTGCAGCTCAAAACTTTACCTACCAATCCATCCTTATTAAAGTGGCAGCCAAGGCTGGCGCAAGTGCTGGCTCATCTTTTGGCGCAAAATATGCAATGAAAAGTGGTGCTGAAGCAGGAGCTATAGCCGGTGGAATAGCAGGGGGGCAGGCTGGAGCATCGGCTGGTGCAGCTGCTGGCGAGAGGGCAGCGATGGAAATGACTGCGAAAACAATAGAAGATGCGCTGAACAGCCTTCATGGAGACAGCTTGCACAGATATAACATCATTTTAAGGAACGGAAATGTAGTTGCTGTGACCGGACCAGGGCTGGATGGCGCGGAAGAAGCAGGAGCGACTAGTGGTGGAGCAGGCGGTGGGAAAGGACCCAACGAGGCTGGAGGTACATCTGGCTCTGCCGGCAATGGTGGTGGTGGTAGTTCAGGAGGAGGAGGTGGTGCAAAAGGAAAAGGAAAAGCAGGAAAGGGGACGGGAGCAGCGACTTCTGGTACTGGTGTAGGCATTGCTGGCGGTTTGGGTGCAGGCGCTGGGGCGGGTGTTGGTAAGACTGCAGGTGTGGGTGCGAGTGGGAGTGTCAGCGGAAGTACAGAAGGAGCTACTTCAGCTGGTGCATTGGTATCTGGATCAGTTGCCGGTGGTGTGGGAGGCGGTGCGGGGTCCTCAGGTGGCAGAGCAAGTATCACTGGTGGCATGCTTTCTGGTTCGATATCACACCGTCAAGTTACCTATATTCCAAAGCCAGGAGAGGACCCACAAAGTCTTGCACGTTCTTTGGTTTGGAGAGCAGGTGGAGCAACAAAACGTAAGTCAACACCCATGAGTTCGAACTTAAGATCCAGAAAATATTGTTTTGCTTTGCTCCGCAATACTTCTAGCTATTCAAAATAGAAAGTTATTTTCCAAAAAAGACAGTTTGCAATAACAAACTTTACCTCAAAAAATTTGAGCCGCAGGTCTTATAGTACGTAGCAAGGGTGGCACAGTTGGTTAGTGCTCGGCCTTCGGTGCTCGAGGTCCCGAGTTCGATCCCTGGTAACATCACATCCTTGATTCAAATTCTCTCCTTTCTGCGTAGCTAAGCTCTGACTAGCTTTAAATACCCTAAAACGGAGCACTGATGGAGAGAGGGGGGTAAAATGAGAGCACCGTCAACCTCAAGTTTAGCAGTTATTACTGTCTCGAGTTATCCACGTAAAATATGGTTGCTTTACCTTTACCTTCACCTTTAGGTAAATAAATTATGTTATAGAGTTAAGTGTGAGAGCTGGCGAATGGAAGCATGGAAGGTGCATCTACAATTTTTCCTCTAAGTTAAGATTGCTCAACTTCCCTCTGAAATGAAAGACGTTCTATGCCTCCCTTAATGACCTCAGAAAGGCTATTCCACAACCTACAGCCTAACTGGAAAGACACTCATGTCCTAGGCAGGACGCGGGAGTAGGTTGCGCCTGCACGTCCCGCTACCCCTGAGATTTTAGATAGTGTACAAGTTGTGTTAACTTTGTGATAGCATTATCAATGAAATGACAGGGGTGAAAGAAGCAATCTTAGCAACAATATCTGACTGGCAAACGATTTCCTTCAAACAACCAGTGATAGCCATATATAAACAGAAAACTGAAACAACACTTTCCTTTCTTAGTTGTAGACAAAGGATTATATACTGTCCATTCTTTTGACGTGCCTTACCAGCAAGAAAACACTTCCCTTAACTTCTGCTGGCAAGCACACAATGGAGACTTAGCCTTAAGAGCTTTTTGCCAAGTGTTCCAAGCAAGAATCCCCGGGTTGTACAAAGCCGTCGAAAAAAAGAACGAAACAGTATCGTTTGAGTCAGTCTGTTTACCTGGTTACTTCATGAGACAGAAGAACTATCACTTTATCCTTGAAAAACGCGATGGAAGTGATCTATTTGGTGAGTCAGTAAATACTACTTATTAATCGAGAATGAGGTCATTACAGAGAAATCTCAGACCGAGGCCTTGAATCTATTGTCTATAAATTTTGGATGGACAGGTGCAATATATGTTTTTCAACCTTTCTCTTTAGATAAGGAAAGCTCCTTCACTGTGTATTCTGTGATGAAAATATCTCGTAATCTTATGCTACAAAGTATGCACAAGGACTGGTACGTTTGCCAATGGAAGACGAACGTAAAGGAAAAAACTGACATAAAGTTGGATTTCTACAATGGCAAACCAGACGTCCTTAATCGTTGCACGTTTATGTTTCATCCGATAGCACAGAACGAGGATAAATACAGAATGTGCAAAAACGTATTAGGACCAGTTAAACATCCTGAAATAGTCGGACAACCTCTTCCTCATCCACCTCATCTTGTTCCTCGAAAACCAAACCCACCCACCGCACTTCCGTCATGCATTCCAATCTGTGCAGTGGGTTCGACTGGGGAAGAATCTGGAAAACCGAGGATTTTCAGTCCTTCTGTTTCCACCAATGGCACAGTTAACACAGCTGCAAGTAAGTTTTCAGAAGAAGGTCCGTCGAGGTTAAGGTAGTTGACCCTGTCTGCCCTAGAGGGCAGTTTTACAGATAGCAGATAATTAACCTCAAATTGTTCAAGCTTTTTTTTACGTTTGAATACTTCGGAAAATACAGTAACGTTTGCTATAGCACTAACGTAAGCCGTTAAGTCTTCTCTGGCAGGATCTGACAAGAAGTGAGGTACCCGCCTCGCGAACACTTGAACGTACTTCACACTCTTCCTAAACAAAAGTGTTTTTGCAATTCATCACTGACACAGCATCAACCTTCCGTTTAGTCTGTTTCTCTTTAGTTTCTTAGTTTATCGTATTTTTTCGATAAATTCATATTGCGATCGCGCCTACATCATTTGCCTAACTTTAACTATAAGTTGTTGTTTTTACAGAGATGTGTGTGGCACTGAACTTTGTCAACAATTTTGGATCTCCATTTAAGCTGTACTCGTCTTTAAAGAATGAAGGATATCTTGTTACTGGAAATGGCCTTAAGCTTAAACTAATAATTGCTCGACCTGAACTTCATAGTCACGTGACATTCTACGCGGAGGACCTTACGGGTAGAAGAGAGCTTTTTCTAAATGGAGCATCCAGTATTTCGGAGCCAACGATTTTGGGATGTTCCAAGTTTTTGACGGTATCCGTGACGTCTGGAAGAGGTGACTAAAAAAAATTTAACCACGGTTTCACTAACCCAGTATAGTTACTATTAAATAAGTGAATGCGAACAAAACGAGTATTTAAAAATTGCTAGGTTGCGATTAATAGTCGATCGAATCAAAGTGCTCTTGAAACAATTTTTACATCAATTTAATATGATCTTGTCATAATTGTTAGCATAAAATAATTCGTGTTTTGCTTTCGTTAAGCGATGCCTCTGGAGACGGACAATTTCTCGCTTTCGAGCGCAACATCTCTGGGACAGCTAATGCTACCAACAAATAACATATGACAAGGAATTACGTTTCGAGAAGGAGAACAGATATCAAAGTCGTTTCAAAGTCCGATTTTCCTTTCTCTTGTATTGGTGTTTCAAGGTCTTTATCTGACTTTTAATTCCTTAACTTTGTTTGGTTTTACCCATATAGAACTCATTAGAGGAGGTTTACCAGCAAGTGCAACTCTTACATCTGCATCAAGTGCCTCTAATTCAATGTCTCATCATCCCAGTGCGCACCCAACCCATCATCCTCCTGTTTATTCGCTCCCCAATATTTCAGCTTCTGCAGCCTCTCCACCTCCAGCGGTAGCACCACCGCCAGCGGCAGTACCACCGCCTGTTACCGCTTCTGTAGCGTCACAGTCTGGAGCTCTAGGAGAAGATAAATCACACCAAGGTAAGTCCATCTTAGTTGCAAAATGTGAAAAACAAGGTTCGTGTGGTTTGCGCATTTTAAGTTAGAGTGTTGAAGCATTTCTTGAGGAGATAAGAAGCTTTACGTGTCGTGTTAATGCAAATATTCCGTTGTTGTTACATAAGAGACTATTGCGGTCCTGCACATTACGTAACCTAGCTTAACAGTTGTTTTCATAGGCTGTGTTGTTTTGCCTTTTTAGACCCCCTCTTTTTCCTCTGCTTTGCGTCGTTCGTGGTTTCTACACTGAGAAAAAGCAAATTTTACCACGGTCGTGGACAGAATAAAAGCATATTGGTTGAAGGAGAATAGTATTATTGAACTTGGTTTGCAAATTATTGTCAGTATTTAGCAAATCAATCTTATTGCTACGAATCGCGATAATTTGCTCAAACTCGTCCATTGCTTTTTTGCTATTTAACGGTATGTAACGGTAATTTTCTTAAACAGATCACAAAGTAATCCATTATCATTACCATTACAATGATCGGGATCAACCAGAAACAACTACAGGTAAATATATTAAGGACTGTCTTACGTGCCAGGAAATTTTTTACACCCAATAGATCTAGAGTTCACGATTGGGACGGCTGCGAACCCCTTCCCGTGGAGCTGCGTGGGAAACAGTAATGTGGAAAAATGGTTTAAATTAAAAGCTCTGCAAAATGATGAAAACATTTTGAGATATGGCGCTGCTTTGACCTCATCCAAATTGGCGGTAGTCTTGGCTGTTACCAGTTTATAGCAATAGAAGCCCTTGAATCAAAAATTCAGCGGTATCCGTACCTTCTTCTGTTTTTTTTTTGTAAAAGTTTAGGGGATCTGCCAGCAGCCAGCAAAGAGAGAAAGAGAGGGAAATTGCTAAGCTCAACTACTCCATCTTCAAACAATACATTTAGCTAGATTTCGCAAAATATCCCAAGAATTTGAAAGAGGCCGTTATAAAAGCTAACCATCTCATTAGCCCGGAGCTTATCCGGTTTTTATGATTTGGCTAGAAATATTTCTATTTCCTCTCTGGATGAGTTGCTTATCCATCGCTGGGTTTGCTTCCCCCTACCCTGCATTGAGCTCGCCGGTACCCATATATACATCTGGGTCGAGTCAGGCACTTAAAGTGTCTCGCCCAAGAACACAACAAAGGTAGAGAGCAGTCCAGAAGTTAATACTGTTAATCCAATTTTATACTCGGTTGTCACCTTCTTTCTCTATTTTTAACAAAAGCCATAAATAAAGTTAAGGTTCTAATCCATCAAAACTACTGTATAGTGAAGAACAGGAAAACTTCGTAATCCTAACAATTTGTCTGACTTTTCGTTTATAGAAGACATAGAATGTCCCAGCATATGCGCAACATCAGACAAGTGTCATCCTTCCTGTCCATTGTTTTGTTGCAAACGAAGTAACGTTATTTCAACAACGACGAGGATATGAAAAGTTAACTGGAGCTAAAAGATGGAAAAGGCAATTAGAAGATAAAAACAAGGACTGATTTTTAAAACTAAGTGAGAGATTGCACGTGGACTCTAAATTAATTGAGTTGTATGTAGACAGAATTTCAGATTTAATGATGTTTAATATGAGATAAATTAATGTAGTTTTGTTTCGCTAGCTGCTGACAGTTAAAAATTAAAGATGTATCTTCCTGGCTATCTTTATGGTTAAATATAGTTTGTAGGGTAAAGATTTAAGAATTTACTGTATACGAACTCACTGATATTGGTGTTTAGTAAAAGCAATTTGACCGTTTCGCAATCTCGGGATATTTAGCAATCATTAGATAAGGCTGAGTATTTCTGAAGAATTATGGATATCGAGCTATTCTGTACTGATCAACCAAAACAAGGTAAACTCGTCCTTAGGACTATTCGGCTGCGGTCAGTTTTTCTGGCATTGATATACCTACTATTATGGTGTCAAATGACTCCTTAATTTTGGCGCGAAATTCAACGTTGATTTATGTCATGTGTTAAATTACAAAATCGCCATGGCAACGTTCCGTACGTTTCAGTGCCAACATGGCGTCGAAGTTTTAAATTTGTGTTATGATTCAGAAAGAAGACGCTTTACTGAGAAATCCTAAACACACGAAAGAGCACACCAAGAATGATTCTAACAGGTATTTTGTGAAACAATTCTGAAACTTGTGAGCTTAAGTCAAAATTTATGCTCTTGACTTTTCAGTTCATGGATTTTTCGATATGACAAACAAACCACGATTGTGAGTGAATTGCGACCGTAAGTTGTCACACATGATATTAATAGGTAACCAGATGGCATACTCGTAAAAATAGTGAATAATGTCACTTACGTTTTGTCCAAGTTATACTAATTAGAAAAAACATTTGAATTTGGACAAAACTAGCGAAAAAGAATGTCGTAATTTCACTCGTCACCATTTGATTACACAGTCTAATATTCAAATGTATTTTGAAGGAAATTTTGGCGCACGTGGGAATTTTAGATCGAGCTTTCTAAAAACAAATTTTAGGGCCTGTTTACATGCAGGTGGGGTACCCCAGATAGATGAGGTAACCCGCTTAGGTGGGGTAACCTGCCTCTCCATATAATCTCTCCTTTTAATGTGATCGCGTTTACATGTTAGGTGGGGTAACCCGGTCGATTTAGCTCACATACCTGAGGTCCCCCACCTTCATGTAAACAGGCTCTAAGGCTTGTGTACAATAATAAATAGCATTAAATTGCACGTATATTTATTTTCAAGATAATCGTTGACAGAAGTTAAAAGAGTCACAAAACTTTCTTTGTTTTATTGCATTATAACAGTGCTACTGCTATAACCGGGGCCACCTAGACAAAGTTAACCTTTCGGATCACAGGAAAATAACAATACATTCCGAAAAAAAAGTTAGTTGTCAATCATAATTACCACGAAACGAAAAAAACAACATGGATCAAAATCAACCAATTACAACCTACAGACGTGAACTTTTTTGAACCCGCTGAAGAAAGTCTGTGTTTCCTGAGAAGTACCGTTAGAGTGAATGACAGAGTTATATTTTTGACTTCGCAATGGTAGCGAAGAAATTGCTGGGGGATGGCAAAATAACAGCTTGAGCCAAAAAATATATCTCCTGGGTGTTAAATGTAAGGTTTCGAATGGAAAAACATTTATATTGTCAGGTGAAATATTTTGCTTTCTTGAAAAGCGTTAAGTTTCCATCAATATTTAAATTTTATGCCTCGAGTAACTTATCGTTTCTTTATGAACTGCTGATTGGCTCACAACTAAATTTCTCGGAATGTATTGTTATTTTCCTGTAATCCGATTGGTCAGTTTGTCCAAGTGCCGATTATAGTAGTCGCACTGTAAACCATTCTGGCCAAACAAGTAGCTTAAAGTCGCCGCAGAAAACCCTATTTCGAGATTTTCAAAAGTGGCAGCTTCTACTTTCTCAAAATTCTTTAGCTCGCTCACGCTTAATTTGCACCCCCAATAAAATTTTAATGATCCGTTATTGCAATCAGCATTCTCAGGGTCGATCTTCCTGCTAACAAAAAGAGTTTACAACAGTGCAATTTTGGTTATGAAACGTAGATCATGCTTTAAGGTGATGTTACTCGAGACGACTCGCAGCGACGATTTTAAGGGTAACGCAACGTAACAATGTTGTAATGCGTTCCGTGTAACATCACCTCTAAGGGAGCAAGCTTACGTGAAAAATGTCTATCTCTAAAACAATTATTCTTTTCAATCCTGGCCCCAGTTGTTCAAACGGTGGATAGCGCTATCTATCGGTCCCGTGATATATCAATAACGTACAATAATGTACAAGCGACGTAGAGAATATTACCAGAGTCATGACTTTCTTGATCTCGTAGTTTGATAACTTTTAACATCTGTGCTTGGCTGAGTTTAAGCAGCGACGTTTTTGAGCGACGCACGCCAACAAGAAGTGGACTTGTTCTCTTTGTATATGCCTTATATTTCTAAGTGTCTTTACTCTTAAAGAGTGGTTTTAACCAAAAATTTGTTCAAAATCAGAGAGTGCAAAAAGTCCACCTCTGGTAGACGTGCGTGGCTCAAAAACGTCGCTGCTTAATCTACCTTTAAATAATAGGCAGCTTTCTTAAAAGCAACCGCGACCGCGACGACAACGACAACATCAAAATACAATAATTTATTTTATGAGCAAAGCACTAGCTCTGCACGTGCATCACGCTTTTTAGTACATTTCTTTGACGTCCACTGCACGAACACAACGTGAAACCTCCTTTACATGGTCTTATGCAGGACGTGAACATACGACAGAAGGACCCATATTCAAATTTTTAGCGACGTTTTCACTGC